GTATCCGGGTTCGTGAAACTGGCGAGCGCCTGCCCTCCTCGGAAACCCCAACCATAGTTCCTAATCACGTCTCTTACTTCGATATCCTCGTGAGTCTGCTGTTGCCATACATCATGGCTATCGCATCACAGGTTTTGTTGTCTTGTAACCGTCCAGTATCATTTGTCGCGAAGAAAGCAGTCGCTTCCTACCCGGTCATCGGTGATATCGCCACTTCCTTGGGCAGCGTGTAAATCTTAAAAGTGCTTCGCTCCGCTAAAACTGGATTTCTTTAGGTATGTCAATCGTGCGAAAGACCCACAGGAAAGGGATGAGGCGATGGAAGTGATTGGGAAGAAGCAGAGACGTATCTTGTTGTAAATCTTCGCTGTGCGCAATTGCTGGTCGTTGGTCAGGTGTTATGGAAGGTAAATCTCGTTATCAATTATGTGTATTTGCTGAGGGTACCACATCTAATGGAACCTCACTTATGCATTATCATGATGGTGCATTTGAGAGTATGTTGCCTGTAATAAGTCGACTTATTATCATACCACTCCACATTATCATGTTAGGTACAGCCATTGTATATACAGTACTCCAACCTCAATATCAGCTTCACTTGCTTCGACCTGTTACCACACTTCTTCCTGGTCATGGCCCTTCCCCCATGGCATACCATCACTTGCACAGTTCGTTGGTTACCTAAGGTCCGTGTGGAGCATCTATTGTTATTACTCGACGGTTCATCCCTTAGGTGGCTCCTGATGCTGGCAGTTCTGTAAGGGACTTCTCTGGTAGAGTTAGAGATGAAGTGGCCAAGGCAGGGTGAGCAGCTGAAGGGGTCAATCCTTGTTGTTGTGGTTGTTGTTGTAGTTGTTGTAGTTATTGTTAGAGTTATTGACGCTTATTCTTTGTTATTTTCAGGAACCTTCGACTGGACAACAAGTCCAATCTGAAAGGTCACTATGAGATCACAGACTTCTTCTTGGGTGATAATGCAGCAAAGATTGCCACTAAGAAGGACCGAGATAACACCGCGCTTGTGCGCAAGTCGTCATACAACTCAGCAGATACCTCAGCCAGCGACTAACGATACACCCCACTTCTCATTCTACTATACCATAACATTATCATCAACTGACTAATATGATTCCTTACTGTCCGCTGAGGCCCAGCTGTGTGTCCTGAGTGAAAGCCGTTACCACACATATCTGACTTGCCTTACCGAGCATTGAACGCCTCGCTTGATTGAACAACAATTCGAACACATTCATTCGACTTATGCATCTAATGCTGCTGATAGCAACCTCAAGTCATTACCTACTGTTCCCTTTCTGTGAAGTAGCTGTTTACTGAATACTTTATACTCCATAGAACTCCTGTCTGAGGTATAACGTTTCTGTTGTTACTAGTAGTGGGTCTCTGCAATAGGTTTGATGTTCTTTCGTTGCTTATGTTGTGTTAACATACCACACTTCTCACAGATCTGCCCTAGTCCTACCACGCTGACAGGCTACTCATGCTAATCTTCAGCTTCCCTGACACCCCTAAGTTTGAGCCTTCATATCGATTTGTAATTCACCATGTCATGGTCTGCTATACTTTCCCTGACTGTTTACCTTCTTACCACACTCCTCTGTGTTTACGCTGTTGCCAGAGGTTACTCTGATGCCAAGAAGTGCAGCACTGAAAGAATCATTCACAGTTTCGGTACATCAAATCCTCAACAGGCTTCCGTCATAGCCACACTGATATTCAGGCGAAGTTCCTAATGATTGGAAACCGTTCACAAGGCCTGACTCTCTCCCTTCCAGTTTCGCCACGATTATGGTAACGCTATAATTAGCACTCCTATTGAGCTCCGTTGACATCAGGTCCTTGCGGTGACCATAGTCCCTATTAAATTCATTGTCGTTATATTCATCCACGTGGTTGCTCTTATTGGCCTGTATACTCTCCCTACCCAAATTTTCCTCAAGCTTCTAAGCTTGTGCTGTGGCGCCTTGGTCAAGATAGCAGGTCGGTTCTCATCCTAGAGCCATCTAATCTCAACTCGACAGGTATCACCGTGCGTGAACAGGGAACTAGGCTTCCAGCTACCGAGGTCCCTACTATTGTTTCTAACCATGTATCATACTTTGATATATTGGTAAGTCTGCTTCGCTCCGCTAAGGGTATCGCCATTTTCTCATTGATGTAGATAATGCTATCTCGTAATGTTCCAGTGGCGTTCGTCGCAAAGAAGTCCGTGGCCGCATACCCGGTCTCGGGGGATATATGCACTTCACTAGGCAGCGTGTAAGTCTACCTTGAGGATGTATATGGTTCGAGGAATGGTCGTGGTCAGGTATGTGATTAGAGCTAAGGATTCCAAGGAGAGGAGGCAGGTCATGAACGCTATTGGAGACAAGCAAAAACGTAAGTGCTTGCAGTGGGCTGAAGAAGAGGTCGTTGGTCAGGTGTTATGGAAGGTAGATCTCGTTATCAATTATGTGTCTTTGCTGAGGGTACCACATCTAATGGAACCTCACTTATGCATTATCATGATGGTGCATTTGAGAGTATGTTGCCTGTAATAAGTCGACTTATTATCATACCACTCCACATTATCATGTTAGGTACAACCATTGTATATACAGTACTCCAACCTCAATATCAGCTTCACTTGCTTCGACCTGTTACCACACTTCTTCCTGGTCATGGCCCTTCCCCCATGGCATACCATCACTTGCACAGTTCATTGGTTGCCTAAGGTCACTCCCGAGCCCAACAGTTCTGTACGTGCTTTTGCTGAGAAGACCAGGCAACAAGTTGCTGTCGCTGGGTAAGCAGCATCCACTCAGTAACTGATGGTCTTTCGGATGTTCACCGTAGGAATCTCCACCTCAACAACAATGCGAGCTACAGGCGCCACGTCGAGCTGGAGAAGTTCTTCTTTGGTGACACTGAAAAGGTTGTTAGTCGTAAAATGCACGAAATTGCCGGAGTCGTCGAGGCCAGCAAGGATGGGGTTAAGGGCTGCTCTCCAGTTCCCACTAATGCCTAGTTCCTAAGCAGTTCTCTGTTTCTTGACACTAATCGTCACTAGAAGGCCCACTGTGCCAGAGCCCGGCTAGTCCAGGGCATTTCCTGTGTAGTAATGCTAGTCGTGATGACGGCCCTAAGTGCCATCACAGTGTAGTAGTATTGTTTCTGTATTATCTCTTATTTGGGTTTTCAATCAGTTTTGATCATTGGGAACAGTCTTTTCTAGACATACGCAGCTCCTAACCGTCCTTCTCGTTTGCCGGAATTGGGTGAGTCGTGTTGTTGCTATTACAGGTTCCGGGTTTCCAACTACGTAAGTGAGAATGAATCGTCCCCTTGCACATCCATTGTCCCCATTGCATTCAGTGAGATGTCAGGCCGCTTAGCTGTTCTTTGTGGAGTATCTTGGAGGCAGGCTCGCCATGGGAGAGGTGGAGACCAGACTGCCATTGCTTCCTTAACATGGTATTACACTGGTTTTTATGGTGCTGCTGGAGTCGAGTCGCATCAGAGGTCATCCCATTGATGTAATAGGAGCACGAGTCGGCAGCAGAGGGCGCTCTTCGGTCAATGCAGCTAGCATGATCATGTTTATCATGGTCAGCATAAACTCTGATGATGCGGGCTCGCCACACTGACATGAGGGCTGTTTCTGTCCTAAAGGGTGTTTTGCTCCATGTGCCTTGAGGTTGATATACCTTCTAGCATAGACTCTCCTCCTCCTCCTGTTATGATTGCATTATCACGGATACTTCGATGTGATGTCGTGTCGAGCTCCTCTACCCGACATAGTCGTCATGCACTACTAAATTCAGCGACGCCTCGGCCCCCCGTGTACCGTCTACCGCCTCCGCAGTTTGCTGTGGACTCGCAGTTCAAGTTCAAAGTCGAGGCTGAGGCTCGTGAGTTGCACACATCCCTACTGACTTCCACTGTGCTGATATCAGATCCTATGGACATCGGCGATATCATTATGAAGGTTTGCATGAGTAAGCGCCATACTGTGGTTCTGCAAGCGGTAAGCAAATGACATCAGTATTGATCTTAGTGTGTGAAAATATGCACATGATCAACCACATATTTTGGTGACAATATGGAAAATTTTGGGAGGAAATTTTGAGAGGTTATTGCTGATTCCTGTACATTTCTACCCGAATTCATATATAAACTTCTGAGGAACATCCTGAGGAAAGCGAAGATATATCCCTCCAACACTGATTGTCCCTTTCCTGCTCAGCAAGGGGCCCCTGCAACGGCAGTGGCGGTCAAGGGCTTCATAGAAGCCAACGCCCCTCGATCGCGCAGTTGCCACTTGGTCGTATCGGGGGCACCTCTAGAGGAGGTCGGAAGAAGAGGTAAGATTTGTTTGAGGAGTGGTAACAACTCCAATCTGTTAGGGGGTCCCAGTACGGTCATTTGGCTAAGCTCATATCGAGCAAGGGATTCTAACCTTTTCAAACAGGAGGACAGTGCGGAGACAATGGTTGTGTCCAACCATACCAAGCCGGCCCCTCTAGCAGGATCCATATCGACTTCAATCGAACAAGGGCACATCGTTCGGCTGCAGGGTACCGTTGTGCGAGTGATTCCCCAGTCGAGGTCCTCTCCCCCAGGTGCCGGCCCTCACTGTCTTAAGAAAATGATGGAGGCCCTAGCAATTAGCGGCCGACACTGTGGGTCACTCGTCATCACTGTTACTATGACCAGCCTACTGTTCTTGTCTAGTTTCTGAGGATCGGCAACCACGACCTGGGTCCAGGAGGAGACCAGGCCTGCTTGTGTGTTGGCCGCGGTTCATGTCAACGCGGAGCCCTAGTACGTCCATATCGACTTCATCGGCCCAACAGGTGTACCGCTGTCAGGTGCGGGGCATGAGCGTGCTCCTAAGGGAGTTGTGGAGATCTATGTCGCTCTCGAGGAGAGCATTTGCGGTGACGCGGTTGTTGCAGAAGATGCTGACGAGGGAGACCGATGGCAACAGCAGCAGCAGCGGCAGATTGTTGATGCTTCTCCTGATATACCTCGACTGAGAATGGTCGGTCTCCTCAATGGTGCAGTGCATAGATGACCATGGAGATATGTTTCTGTATATATACTGTTGAGTCCGGTCAGTAATTGTTGAACAGGGCTGACATTTCTTCTTAGGGGGCTGCTGACCTGTATACAGTTGGGAAGTATGTCTTGGTTGAAAATTGAATGTTCATGGCAGCTAGTCGCGAAATTCTCCCGTAAACATCTGTACGTGGGGGTATTAGACACAACACTATTTTCCGTCGAAATTCGCAATCACCCGAGTGGAAAGTGAACGAAACCCACGTTACAGTGATAGGACGGCGATGATATCGAAGTGCAAAAGCTTCATAAACGAGTCGTGATTGTCAAGCTCAAAAATTGCCAGGGAGTATGACGGTGGTGACGCTGAAGCCGGGTACTTCACCAACGTGGACGGTCTGGTACTTCCCGCCTGGCAGCTGCACCTCAATGATCAAATCCGAGATGTCCTTTTCCTGACTACTGAGTACCTGATGATGTTGATGATTCTGTACGGTGTAGGAGGGCGAGTTCTTACGATAATCTCCAACTCAGTTTTGGCCTCATTTACGAAAGCCATTGCTTCTAGTGTGTTAATAGTAAAGATCGGACTCGATGTAGAATTGGTAACATTCACAGAAGTGACCATCCTAGCACCGGGAGCGACGAATTTAGTGATGTGCCCAAAGGCATAATAAGAAGGTTGAATCTGATACAAATACATAGCCACTCATGGCCACTTATGGTCAATAGTATATACCACTAGCTGACTTGCGTTGTCTATATGGATGTGTGCATAGCAATAGTTATCAGCGTGGTTGGGGCCTCCACGATTCTGAGGAAAATGATTCGTATAGAATCCAAATACCAACAACAAAGCGACATACGGCATGTGATGCTTTCTCGTTGAGTAGTAGGTTCCAGTCCACCCATCCAGTTGCTCCGCCGTGCATGAAGTCAACTATAACACCATGTACGTAGCGAGCAGCTCGTTGCCATGTAGAGTTGTGGAAGAACCCAATCGCGTCCCAATCACAGGTGCCTGAAAGAATCCAATGAATTCAACGCACTATGAAGAATATCTCTCTGCCTACATGCTTCGGTCCCCAGGAGAGCGTATTTACTGCCGTATTTGGCTTTGAAATTCTCAAGATTTGAAATTTGGTCGAAGGTATACCAATGGACTCCGGCACCATAAATGTACCTGTAGGAACAGTTTGTGAAATTATGCGCATGATCAACCACATATGTTGGTGACACTATGAAAAAAACTGTGGAAATTTTGAGAGGTTATATAATTCCGAATTCATATATAAACTTCTATAATTAGTGAGGAAAATCCTGAGGAAAACGGAAATATATTCCTCCAACACTGTGCAGGGACCGCCCCGTTGGGCAAGAACGCATGCTGTACTCACTGAGCAGCCTTGCTATCCTGTAAAACGACATCTGACACTTCCATTAAGTGGTCCTTGGTATAATCCATGTACATGATCTTCACTTTATCCCCGAATGTTTTGTTCAGAGTTGGTCCAAGATAGTCCCTTATGAATTCTGTCTGGTTGGCAGGGTCGTACGAACAAGCCTCCCATCTTGTGTTGACATAGAATCTGAATATTTCAACTGTGACCGATGAATACCACACCGTGGACAACTCACTGTGGCTCGTTCTGCTGCGTTACTCCCCAAATAGGTATCTTCTTCTTCCCATAAGATTGAATCTGATGTATAAAAAGGCCGGGTTGATAACAGAAATCACGACAGTACATACCCATTTGACGAAGTAGTCCGCCCAGGCTTGTTTGTATCTCTTGTCTTGCTTAAGGCAGGGATTAGCGCTGCCAATCATACTGTGATCGCCGGCCTTCATCCAATATGGTGGGGACCATGGGCTTCCTGTACACTAAAGGTTCGTCCATACCACGCCAATGGTAAATTACCGAATAGCTTCAATGACGCCTTCCCCAAAGCATCGTGCATGAGCTGAATCATACCGGTGTCTTCATCTCCCTCCAAAGACTCATCGAAGTGCTCCAAAGCGAAGTCATCAGACACGTTGGCAAAGGCGTAGGTATACGGACTGAAGTCACACGAGTTGATTGGAATTCTACCCATAGTGTAGCGGAGTCCACTCTGGCCAAAGTACCTACACCGACAGATCATCATCATCATCATGGATGTTGGGACAGACACTCACAATTCGATGAATTTGCGTTTATCATCATCACTCAACTTCTTGTAATTCACACCAGATGCCGCTGTGAATGCACCCCCAAAACCTTCGACAGGTCTAGGATTCAACAACGCTGAAAATGAACGGATACAAGTCTGTTCCGAGACCATGCGTGCTGTGGCCAGTTGAACAACACTTTAACAGAAGTGAATACTCATCGATGCTACATGTTAGCTTACCCGTATTCAACTTGACATGATAAGTAGCTGCCGGACCTTGGTCAATTGTGATGGACCGACGTGTCATATTACCACCATTTTGCGAGGTGACAAACCTAAAGACAATGAGCCCGAGGCGGAGGGTGATGCTTCCTTACGCTGCAGCCCCAGTCGGTGAAGGCGTAGTACTCACTACAGGAGTGCTCGGTACAGGAGTGCTCACTACAGGAGTGCTCACTACAGGAGTGCTCGACACAGGAGTGCTCACTACAGGAGTGCTCACTACAGGAGTGCTCGACACAGGAGTGCTCACTACAGGAGTGCTCACTACAGGAGTGCTCACTACAGGAGTGCTTGACACAGGAGCTCTGGTGCTGGTAGTACCCTTAGAAGAACTGCAACCAGATAGAGTTAGCAGGCTAACTATTGATGGTACTGTGAGGATTGTTGGCAGTAGTAGGCCTCGCATTAGTCACAATAAGAGAATCCTACATAGACAGCGCGACGGTTTTCTGGTGGAAACAACTGCGACGTATTATGCGAGGAAGAGAGCACGGCGGGTAAGCCCACTACACCCACAGATGCTGAGGGAAGACAAACACGGGTGACGGCGTCACCACTCCACGGAGACGGCGTCACCACTCCACGGAGACGGCGTCACCACTCCACGGAGACGGCGGTCACGATACATAGAGTCAGGTATATGAGTACATCCCGTGAGGACACGAAGAGAGAGGGCGGGATGGAGGAAACCACTGTCATGATTGATGCTAGAGTTACGACTAGTCGAGTAACAAGCCACCGCACAATCCATGCACGTGGCGCCGCACGTGAAGTGGGTCAGAAGCACGTGTGCATTGTTCGTAGCATGTTGATCACTGTTGCGGAAAGGTGAGATAACTTAGTACGATTACTCACAGCCTAACTGTTCCGCAAGTGTTAGTAGGGCTTATTTTCAGTCTGCTCCATAAGCAATGCTCAGCCTTGCCTCCAGCCACCGTATATACGAGAATAGGGCTTGCAAACACAGTCCCGATCGCAGCTTCCCACCCAAAACTCGTTAACTCAACTCGTCCCGCCCTACCGACTTCATCTGTGGCCATCAGCCAGTCATACACAGTTGAGGATTGCACGTCAAGATGCGGACAATGAGAAACTATCGGATGGCAGAGGGTGGGCAAAAGGAGCCAGCACACTCACCAGCAACTGATAGATGAGGTAAAGTGTCAATAGCCTCACAGTGAGGATTAGAACCAGCCCGTAACTAGCTTCGTGGGCGAGCGCGTCACGGGCCAGTGTTTGCACCACTCTACACTCCACAAGCTTCGTGTAGGGTAACAGGCAAGAATTTGCAAAGTGTCCTGGGCAACCGCGCGCGCCTTGTGATCATCGAATTTTGAAGAGATTGAACCTCCTTGTCCGCGACTAGCTCCCAAAGAGCCCAGTACTACGATCGCCCCCTTCTGAGGATCAAGCTACAGGCGTTATGCTTAGTAGTGGCTGATTGATAATGAGCCATAGTCGACATAATTATGTTTGCGACAGATGGGGAATATTCCATCGTGTGTGAGTAACTGGAAGGAGTACGGACTCGTTCTAAGTTGGCAAGACGACGGGTCGCTAATTTTCTACCAGCTCTGGTGTTAGAAGCAATTTATATGCTGAATGTGTTGGTGTGAAATTGAAATAGTTCGTGAGGGAAGAAAAGGAGAAGATGGAGGCTCCAGCTGGGAGCAATTCTAATGGTGGAAGACTATGCAAGGGTATTTTGGTATTCATACTATATAATACCAACAGTAATGTTTACAACTTCAGTGTTGGAGTATATGTTTGCTCCCCTCAGCTGAGCTCAGGAGTTTCCTCACTGATTATAGTAGAAGTGTACATACGAATTGGGGTAGGAGTGTATAGAAAGCAATGAGAATTTATCAAAATTTCCTCTTGTGCGCAAGTCGTCATACAACTCAGCAGATACCTCAGCCAGCGACTAACGATACACCCCACTTCTCATTCTACTATACCATAACATTATCATCAACTGACTAATATGATTCCTTACTGTCCGCTGAGGCCCAGCTGTGTGTCCTGAGTGAAAGCCGTTACCACACATATCTGATTTGCCTTACCGAGCATTGAACGCCTCGCTTTATTCAACAACAATTCGAACACATATTCGACTAATGCATCTAATGCTGCTGATAGCAACCTCAAGTCATTACCTACTGCTTTCTTTCTGTGAAGTAGCTGTTTACTGAATACTTTCTACTCCATAGAACTCCTGTCTGAGGTATAACGTTTCTGTTGTTACTAGTAGTGGGTCTCTGCAATAGGTGTGATGTTCATTCGTTGCTTATGTTGTGTTAACATACCACACTTCTCACAGATCTGCCCTAGTCCTACCACGCTGACAGGCTACTCATGCTAATCTTCAGCTTCCCTGACACCCCTAAGTTTGAGCCTTCATATCGATTTGTAATTCACCATGTCATGGTCTGCTATACTTTCCCTGACTGTTTACCTTCTTACCACACTCCTCTGTGTTTACGCTGTTGCCAGAGGTTACTCTGATGCCAAGAAGTGCAGCACTGAAAGAATCATTCACAGTTTCGGTACATCAAATCCTCAACAGGCTTCCGTCATAGCCACACTGATATTCAGGCGAAGTTCCTAATGATTGGAAACCGTTCACAAGGCCTGACTCTCTCCCTTCCAGTTTCGCCACGATTATGGTAACGCTATAATTAGCACTCCTATTGAGCTCCGTTGACATCAGGTCCTTGCGGTGACCATAGTCCCTATTAAATTCATTGTCGTTATATTCATCCACGTGGTTGCTCTTATTGGCCTGTATACTCTCCCTACCCAAATTTTCCTCAAGCTTCTAAGCTTGTGCTGTGGCGCCTTGGTCAAGATAGCAGGTCGGTTCTCATCCTAAAGCCATCTAATCTCAACTCGACAGGTATCACCGTGCGTGAACAGGGAACTAGGCTTCCAGCTACCGAGGTCCCTACTATTGTTTCTAACCATGTATCATACTTTGATATATTGGTAACTCTGCTTCGCTCCGCTAAGAGTATCGCCATTTTCTCATTGATGTAGATAATGCTATCTCGTAATGTTCCAGTGGCGTTCGTCGCAAAGAAGTCCGTGGCCGCATACCCGGTTTCGGGCGATATATGCACTTCACTAGGCAGCGTGTAAGTCTACCTTGAGGATGTATATGGTTCGAGGAATGGTCGTGGTCAGGTATGTGAGTAGAGCTAAGGACTCCAAGGAGAGGAGGCAGGTCATGAACGCTATTGGGGACAAGCAAAAACGTAAGTGCTTACAGTGGGCTGAAGAAGAGGTCGTTGGTCAGGTGTTATGGAAGGTAGATCTCGTTATCAATTATGTGTCTTTGCTGAGGGTACCACATCTAATGGAACCTCACTTATGCATTATCATGATGGTGCATTTGAGAGTATGTTGCCTGTAATAAGTCGACTTATTATCATACCACATTATCATTATCATGTTAGGTACAACCATTGTATATACAGTACTCCAACCTCAATATCAGCTTCACTTGCTTCGACCTGTTACCACACTTCTTCCTGGTCATGGCCCTTCCCCCATGGCATACCATCACTTGCACTCTACACTGGCTACCCAAGGTCATTCCCGACCCCAACAGTTCTGTTCGTGCTTTTGCTGAGGAGACCAGGCAACAAGTTGCTGTCGCTGGGTAAGCAGCATCCACTCAGTCACTGATGGTCTTTCGGATGTTCACCGTAGGAATCTCCACCTCAACAACAATGCGAGCTACAGGCGCCACGTCGAGCTGGAGAAGTTCTTCTTTGGTGACACTGAGAAGGTTGTTAGTCGTAAAATGCACGAAATTGCCGGAGTCGTCGAGGCCAGCAAGGATGGGATTAAGGGCTGCTCTCCAGTTCCCACTAATGCCTAGTTCCTAAGCAGTTCTCTGTTTCTTGACACTAATCGTCACTAAAAAGCACATTGTGCCAGAGCCCGGCTAGTCCAGGGCATTTCCTGTTTAGTAATGCTAGTCGTGATGACGGCCCTAAGTGCCATCACAGTGTAGTAGCATTGTTTCTGTATTATCTCTTATTTGGGTTTTCAATCAGTTTTGATCATTGGGAAGAGTCTTTTCTAGGCATACGCAGCTCCTAAGTGTCCTTCTCGTTTGCCGGACTTGGGTGAGTCGTGCCCTTGCTATTACAGATTCCGAGTTTCTTACTACGTAAGTGAGGATGAATCGTCCCCTTGCACGTCCACTGTTCTCACTGCATTCAGTGAGATGTCAGGCCGCTTAGCTGTTCTTTGTGGAGTATCTTGGAGGCAGGCTCGCCATGGGAGAGGTGAGGTCCTCCACCAGACTGCCATCGCTCCCTTAACATGGTATTACACTGGTTTTTATGGTGCTGCTGGAGTCTAGTCGCATCAGAGGTCATCCCATTGATGTAATGGGAGCACGAGGCGACAGCAGAGGGCGCTCTTCGGTCAATGCAGCTAGCATGATCATGTTTATCATGGTCAGCATAAACTCTGATGATGCGGGCTCGCCACACTGACATGAGGGCTGTTTCTGTCCTAAAGGGTGTTTTGCTCCATGTGCCTTGAGGTTGAAATCCATTCTAGCATAGACTCTCCTCCTCCTCCTGTTATGATTGCATTATCACGTATACTTCGATGTGATGTCGTGTCGAGCTCCTCTACCCGACATAGTCGTCATGCACTACTAAATTCAGCGACGCCTCGGCCCCCCGTGTACCGTCTACCGCCTCCGCAGTTTGCTGTGGACTCGCAGTTCAAGTTCAAAGTCGAGGCTGAGGCTCGTAAGTGCACACATCCCTACTGACTTCCACTGTGCTGATATTAGATCCTATGGACATCGGCGATATCATTATGAAGGTGTGCATGAGTAAGCGCCATACCGTGGTCCTGCAAGCGGTAAGCAAATGACATCAGCATTGATCTTAGTGTGTGAAAATATGCACATGATCAACCACACATGTTGGTGACAATATGGAAAATTCTGGGAGGTTATTGGTGATTCCTGTACATTTCTACCCGAATTCATATATAAACTTCTGAGGAACATCCTGAGGAAAGCTAACATATATCCCTCCAACACTGATTGTCCCTTTCCTGCTCAGCAAGGGGCCCCTGCAACAGCAGTGGCGGTCAAGGGCTTCATAGAAGCCAACGCCCCTCGATCGCGCAGTTGCCACTTGGTCGTATCAGGAGCACCTCTAGAGGAGGTCGGAAGAAGAGGTAAGATTTGTTTGAGGAGTGGTAACAACTCCAATCTGTTAGGAGGTCCCAGTACGGTCATTTGGCTGAGCTCATACAGAGCAAGGGATCCTAACCTTTTCAAACAGGAGGACAGTGCGGAGACAATGGTTGTGTCCAACCATACCAAGCCGGCCCCTCTAGCAGGATCCATATCGACTTCAATCGAACAAGGGCACATCGTTCGGCTGCAGGGTACCGTTGTGCGAGTGATTCCCCAGTCAAGGTCCTCTTCCCCAGGTGCCGGCCCTCACTGTCTTAAGAAGATGATGGAGGCCCTAGCTATTAGCGGCCGACACTGTGGGTCACTCGTCATCACTGTTACTATGACCAGCCTACTGTTCTTGTCTAGTTTCTGAGGATCGGCAACCACGACCTGGGTCCAGGAGGAGACCAGGCCTGCTTGTGTGTTGGCCGCGGTTCATGTCAACGCGGAGCCCTAGTACGTCCATATCGACTTCATCGGCCCAACAGGTGTACCGCTGTCAGGTGCGGGGCATGAGCGTGCTCCTAAGGGAGTTGTGGAGATCTATGTCGCTCTCGAGGAGAGCATTTGCGGTGACGCGGTTGTTGCAGAAGATGCTGACGAGGGAGACCGATGGCAACAGCAGCAGCAGCGGCAGATTGTTGATGCTTCTCCTGATATACCTCGACTGAGAATGGTCGGTCTCCTCAATGGTGCAGTGCATAGATGACCATGGAGATATGTTTCTGTATATATACTGTTGAGTCCGGTCAGTAATT